GCTTTTTATTCATTTATTTCATGGAAAAATTTTTTCCATCCCTTCACTCTCATCCTGTGTGTCTTTTTTTCTGAGGTGGGTCTCTTGTAGACAGCATATCTTTAGGTCATGGGTGTGTTTTTTTTAATCAATTCAGCTACCCTATATCTTTTGATTGGAGCATTTAATCCATTTACATTTAAGGTTATTATTGATAGGTATTTATCTATTGCCACTTTAATTCTTTATGCCTATGTTTCTCTCTCTCCATCTCAACTTCTTATTACAGCAGTTCCTTTAACATTTATTGCAATGCTGGTTTGGTCGTGATAAACTCCTTTAGCCTTTTTCTGTCTGGGAAGCTCTTTATTTCACCACCTATTTTCTGAATGACAGCCTTGCTGAATAGAGTAGTCTTGGTTTTAGATCCTTGCTTTTCATTACTTTGAATACTTCATGCCATTCCCTCCTGGCCTATAGAGTTTCTGATGAGAAGTCATCTGACAGCCTTATGGGAGCCCCTTTGCTGGTAACAGATTGCCTTTCTCTTGCTGCCTTTAAGGTTCTCTGCCCTGAATTTTTGGTATTTTAATTATGATGTGTCTGGGTGTGGGCTTCTTTGGGGTCTCTTTCTTGGGACTCTCTGTGCCTCCTGAACTTGTGTGACTTTTTCCTTGATCAGGTTAGGGAAGTTTTCTGCCATAATTTCTTTAAAAAGATTTTCTAACCCTTGCTTACTTTCGACCTTTTCTGGCATTCCACTGATGCAAATATTGTTATGTTTCATGTTGTCCCACAGTTCCCTTAAACTGTCCTCCTGTTTTTTAATTGTTTTTTTCTTTTTAGTTCTCTGATTGAGTGATTTGTTTTCTACTTTGTCTTCTAATTCACTGATCCAATCATCAGCTTCTGCTAATCTGCTCTTTATTCCTTCTTTTTTTTTTTTTTTTTTAATTTCCACTATGTCATTCTTAATTTCCTTCTGTGTCCATTTCTTTTCTCATGCTGTTGAGCATCCTTATGATCAGTATTCTGAACTCTATATCTGAGAGATTGCTTATCTCCATTTCATTTAGCTCTTCTTCTGGAGAATTATTTTGTTCTTTCATTTGGGGCTTATTTTTTTGTCTCTCCTTTTTAGTTGCCTGTTTGGATTTGTTTCTATGCGTTAGGTAGATCTGCTAGGACTCCCAGGCTTTTTGGAGGGTCTCTGGTGCAGACCCATGTCAGATGCTATCTGTGACTGCCTTTAGTACCTGTTTGAAGTTTTCTGCACTCCACAGCTTCTGGTTCCCTCTACTACAGCTGGGTGTGTTTGGACAGGACCAATATGCGCACCAAGGCCTGTTTTTCCAAGCCCTGAGTCCAGAAGCAAATCAGGCAGAGATTTAAAGCACCCAGAGGCTGATTTTTATTCCGTTTCTTAATGAGCTTCAGGCTGTAGAAATTCCACAAGGTGAGGTGGCTGATTGTTATCAGTCTCTTAAGGAGCCTCAGGCTATAGAAACTCGATGGGGTGGGGCCAGAGGTTTTCTAGCAGGGTGGGGCAATTGCTTCCCTTCCAGGCAAAAGCTGCTTAGAAGGTAAATGTCTACCTGAGAAATATGTTCTCAGCAGTATGGGGGAATGACTCAGCACAAGAATCCAGAGGGGTGCCCTCTGAGCTCTATCCCCCAAGCCTGCCCCTTCGATTCTCCTCACACAACTCTAGTCCACTCTGCCCTTCCTCTGCCAGAGTTGAGTGGCTGCACACAAAACTTTGTGTGTTGGCCCTTTAAGAGTGTGCCTGCATTTCCAGCTGTCTCTCCCTGGCAGACAGAAACCTCCTGCTTTTCACAGCCAGATGTTATGTGGGCCCCTTTCTCAGGTCTGGTGCTCTGGGCTGGGGAGCCCAGCTTGGGGTTTAGACCCCAGAGTCCTCAGTGTGAACTCTTTCCCCACACCTGAGATATCCCTCTGGACCTTGAGCTGCTGCCTGTGGGAGCCCAGCCTGCCCTCTAGCACCTCCACACTTACTACCACTCTCTACGTGGTCTTCAAGTTAGATCCTTGGTTATAAGGATGCTCTCCAGCTCATCTTCAGTTGATTATTCAGGATGGTTTTTCTATATTTTAGTTGTAATTCCAGTTTGGTTTGGGGGAAAGTGTCAGTGTAGTTTCCACTCATTCTGCCACCATCTTTGGTGTCCTAGTACACTATTATTATTATTATTTATTATTATTATTATTATTATTATTATTATTATTATTTGAGCTGAAGGAGGATGAGACATTTTCTTTATTTGGCTAGGGCAGACAAAATGTACAAGATAGACAAACCCACACACTCTCCCGGTGGCAGCAANGGGGGGGGGGGTTGGCACACTTCACCCCAGGGGACAAACCCACCCAGAGAGAATAAACCACACCCCAGGGGAAACAAAACCCCAAACCCCAAACCTTTGAAAGTCCTGGGCCAGTCTTACAGGAGCTAGGACAGTAGTGGCTCTCAGCCAACAATGGATCATATTTTAGTCAGCTAACAAGGCATCTGTTATAACAATGCTATATTATGTTTACATAACTGTGGCCTTCTGCTGTGAGAAGGTGTTGAGAAAACCTAAATGTTTTCACTGTCCCTATAGCTTACTAAGGCGGAGGGACATTGAAAGAGGGACACCTCACTTGAATGGATCATATTTGTTGGGACTGTGGGTGCAGGCATGTTGGGGGCACTGCTGGATACCTGCAGGTTGGAGACACAGCTGGGGTGTCTGCCTACAGGATGGGGTGACTGCAGGACTTCCCAAAATAGCCGGGACTAGCAGGAACACCTCTAACTCTTGGCTGGGAATTTATCTGTCTCTCCATAGATGGAGAACCAGTCCACAGTGCCTTGAGATACCCCTTTTGGGTGAAATTTGACCTAAGTCCCTCAAGCTTCTTTTGCAACATAGTCTGACCCTACTATAAAGTGGGCAATGGAGAGGTTTGGCCAGTTAATGGCACCATTAAGTTTAATAATATCCTGCAGTTAGGCCTGTTTTGCCATTCCCAAGGGAAGTGGATGGAGAATGAGGCCTTAAATCAATGTGTCTTTTCCATACATGCGAGCTCTCAGCAATGACCCTCAGTTATGTGCTACCTGTAAACTAGATCCCTAGTACACTATTGTTAAATTTCACTTGATCATGGGTTGAAAATGGCCAACATTTTACCAGTCTTGGCTCATTTGGGGTCAGGGACTGGGTGAAGAAGCCTTTAGTCAATGTGATCATGATGGAAACCTGTGGTGAGACTGTAGCAAGAACAGAAGGAAGAGGCTCTATTTTGAGGAGTTAAAAATCCATGCTTAGAAACCATTGGAATTATGTTTCAAACTAGATTCCAGTACTTCCCATTTGAGTAACTTATCTAATACCTCTTAACTTTAGGTTTAGTTTTCCCATTGGGATAATAATGCCACACTCAACGGATTCTTGTAAAAATAAAAGTTATTGTCTGATAGATTGTTCTCTGGTGATAGAAATGTTTTATAATATGCACTGTACAAATGATAGTCCCCAGTCATATATGGCTACTGAGCACTTGAAATTTGGCTGGTGCAAATGAGGAACTAAATCTTAATTTTATTTGATTTTAATTATCTTAAATAGCTATACCTGGCTAGTAACTACTATATTGCACAACATAGTTATAGCTGATAGCTGTTATCGGAACTTCTTAGAATGTCAGTTCCTTATTTTTGAGCATGTTATATGCTGTTTCTTGTGCAATGAAGCATATAGCAGTGTCTCTATCTTGGAGAAACATAAACAAGAAATTTAAATAAGCACAAGAAAGACAACATAGACATACAAGTGGTATCACAATATAACATAAATTTTAAAAAGAATTATATGAAATGTAGAGGATTCAGAACAGCAAATGATGTCTTCAGGAATAAGAAGGATGGGAGAGCTTGTACGGCTTATTGAGGCATGTTATACATTTTGGATAGGTAGAAAGAAAAGAAATTTCAGGAGGAATCACTTTGAAAATAAACTAGTAGTGTAGGAACTTGGAAGATGTGATCAGCGCTCAATGAGTAGGCTAATTTGCTGAAGTGTGGAGGTAGTTTGGAAGATAAAATCAAGCTGAAAAAGTGATTTGGAAGATGCAATCACCTATATCATATAAGTTATAGCTGCCTCTTAATTCATGGCTAAAAAGCTTAGGATATATCTTTCAGGTAGGGAAAATTCAGAATCATTGAAAAATTTAGTGCTAAGGAAAAATAGAGTTTTGTTGCAGGAAAATAACCTTGGCAGATGTGATGAGCAGAGAAATGAATTAGGAAGCTCACACTAGTCTAGACAAGGCTCCTGAACCAGAAAGTAACTCTAGAAATGAGAATTCATAGAGGTAAGACTGACATATATTGCTAAAATATTAGAATACGATTGTGGAGGCACTGAAAGGAGTCAAAATGTGACTGACTGAATTGTAACACTGGCTGGGGTAGAAGAGAGTCCAGATAAGTCTACAGGTTGTCTCTAGAGATGGGGATGGATGCATTACAGTGTGAACCCTGAAGCGGACTGGGAGATTTTAATGGGGAAACAGAGTCATTTTATGGTTACATGGCTATCAAGCAATTGCTGGAAATAGTCACTGTTTATACATTTTAGTGCTTCATTAAAACTTAGCTTGAACCTGGCCAGGTAGCTTGGTTCTTTAGAGTGTTGTCTCCATACACCAAAGTAGCAGATTCAATCCCCAGTCAGGGCACGTACAAGAAGCAACCAATGAATTCATAAATAAGTGGAACAACAAATTGATCTCAGTCTCTCTCTCTCCCCTCTTTTGTCTGTCTCTCTAAAATCAACCAATCAAACAAACAAACAAACAAATAAAACTTCACTTGAACCAACACTTAATCTGAAAACTGTAGTGTATTTTTACGTGAGGACCGAAGCATTTTTAATATGTTAACAACCACATGACCTGTCAACTTAAGTATAATGACAATTAACAACGTCATGTTTGTAACTAGTAATTTATTGAAGCCCATCCCTCTACATTGCCGTTCTGCTCCACTTCCCACCTTGCCCCCAACCTCTGCACACTGTCATATTCTTTTTAGAGAGAACAAAAGAAAACATAATAAACACTCTGTCTGGGAGCTTGAATCCAACCTTGTGTGGTCTGAGTAATAAAACTTTTATTGATGGTTACCCAACAAATTTTTTTTCTCTCTTACTCAAATCGGAAGTGGAAAGACAGACTTGTATTAGCCATTTTCTCCTTATAGTCTTCATCAAATCTCTCATTCTGAGCCACAGTAAAGTGATTCTTCCAGTCTCCAACTGCCCCTGAAATAGTCAGTGGAAGAGTCAGTGGCTGTTGGAGGAATTTGTTTCTCTGTTCCCCTGTTTTGTGTGATTCCCATTCTGCCCTCCAGAGGGACAGTACTGCACAAAGCATCTCTCCTGCTAACCCTCCAAGTTTTCATCCTGAAGGGGGGAGGAAGTCTTGTCTGATTGTGAGGGTGGAGAGCCTATTGCCCACTGAGCCACGCTATTGGCGGGTGGGGGCTGAATCATCACCAGGGCAAAACAGCAGGCCTGAGGGGCCCCCTTGTCTTTTCCTCCTGTCCTCTTGCCTATCAAAGCTAGTAGCTTCCATGCAGTAAACAGACCAAGAAGGGCCTGTTTCTAGAGAACTAAAGGTACAGTCTCAAGGAAGAAAACAAAAAAGAAGATCCCCCAAGCTGTCCCATTTCCATCCCTGTCACCTTTCCCTCCATGGTGTTTACCATCATCTACTATACTGTGTATTCTTCTTGTTTATTTTGTTTATGGCTGGATATAGTTTCTATGATGGAAGGGATTTTTGTGTGTTTTGTTCACTGCTCTGAACATTACCCAGAATTGTGTGTGGCACAGAATGGCCACTGAATAAATATTTTTGAAGAATGAATGAGTCCAACTGATACCATAGAGCCATCTATAAAATGGATGCTTTGCTCCATCTGACTTAATTCCCAGCATTTTCTCCTTACCATCCAGAACTCTGGAGGGAAAGTGAGATGAGGGGTTGGATTTAGACACTAAACCTCACTCTTTCATTTCATCCATGCTCTCTTAAATACTTATTTTCCCAGTATCATTTATTATTGATCTTAATTTTCTTATCCATAGAAATCTCCCAAAGGCGCTGAAATACTGGACAGTTCTTTTAAGATTATGACTAAAAGGAAACATAAACACCTTTTCTCATGAATGGAGAAACAGAGTGGTTCATGAATTCAATAGGAACCGATGAATAGTTTGCCATTGGATTTTGTTTCATAACATCAAATGAAGAATGATGGACAATTGTATCTAGAACCTTGTCATCCAGCCTTTTTCCAATAAATTCTCCCAGCTTCTGAATTTCACGCTTTGGGTTCTATGATCAGAATGAAAAGAAAAGTGAAGATTTGATATAAAATAGTTTAAAAAGAATATTGAATTGACTTAATAACAGTGATAAGTAACATACGATGAGTTAAAATGAAAAATAATCCTACCTCACAAATGCTCCTTTCCAGAAATGACTCATTTTAATATGGTGACACATGTTTTTCTTTTTATTAATTAGATTATTAAGCTTTTCTGGCCTTAAGATGGAAGCGTCCATTGAGTAGGATGCTATGTGGAGTGTGGAGAATGTCTTACTAAAGGATTGTGTCAACACCTATGTCCAAATATCCTGCTGAAGTCAGTTCTGGAAGAGTCCTGGTCTGCAAATGTCTAAGAGGGAGCGTCCAAGGACTGACGAGAACAAAGATATTGCAGGAGCACAGAGGCAGACAATTTAAAACCTGGTCAAAAGAAGGCTGTCTCTCATTTTTAACATTGATAGGAATGTTCCCAGACATTGCTGTGGTGGCAGAAGCATGGGAGAGGACTTTTTTGTGCTCATGAGGCAACCAAGAGGTGCCCGAGGCTAATGTCTCTGGTTCCCAGTATGTCCAGGCGTTAGGTGTCTCTGAGAGGAACTCAGTTCCAAGGTAGCCACTGTTTTCTCATCAGAGGGACACAAAACCCTGGGAAGATGTGGCCGTGGGGAATCCCCTATTTCTAGGAAGAGTGGTGGGGGAGGGAAAGTGGAAAAGTTACCAGGACAACTGTATCTTCGGCTTTAAAATGGCCTTCTGCTTTAAAAGGTTGGATAGCAAAAGTGCTTAATTTAATTGGCCTCGTACAGATTAAGAATCAGCAAGAGTGCTGAAAACTGTGGGCTTTGTGTGACTACATTCAGGGAATAGTCCAGAATATGACCACAGAAATATGTAAAAGGGTTTTAGGGACTCTGAGGTTAGACTACATGTTTCAATAAAGTTTCTTCCTGGCATCGTAATACTTTAGGGTCTACCTCAACAAAAAGGTGCCATTCCCAGGGACATATCTCCTTGACACTGTTTGATGCATATGGTGGGCAAGCATCACCCACTTGGAATTTTTCTGTTCTGAGTGCACCCCTAGTCTGTCACATCCCCTCATAAAGGAGCGGACTCTTCCCTTGTGGAGCTCCCTGCCATAACATTGCTTAATTGACTATATCTAGAAATCTGTGATTAACTCTCTGAACTTAAATAGTGCATATATCTGAAAGGTATTTCCTCAGGACATGGACAATGGTAGTCTCCTATTGTACACTTTCCTGTTTTTCAGTGTCCTCTGTGGCGTCTCAACACTTCTGTGTCACACAAAGAAGGAGGGAATTGTATACTGATAACTGTGTACGATGTCCTGATAGCTCTTTAACTATGGTTGTGAGAATACTAGAAATGTAGTAACTTACCTGTTTTTAAAAACCATAGAGTATAATTTAAAACAAAACAAAAGAAAAATTCATAGATACAGGGAACAGGTTGGTGGTTGAAAGAGGCAGGGGTGGGGGATATGAGGTAGGTGAAGGGGGGTCAAAGGGCACAAACTCCCAGCTATAAAATCATTAAGTCCTGGGGATGGGTGTGCGGCGTGGTGACCATAGTTAATGACACTGTATTGCATATTTGAAAGTTGCTAAGAGAGCAGATCTTAAAAGTTTTAATTACAGGAATTAATTATAACTAGATGTGGTGAAAGATGTTAAGTAGACTAATTGTGGTGATCATTTTGCAATGTATACAAATATCAAATCATCATGTTGCTTACCTGAAACTAATACAATGTTATACATCAATTATATCTCAATTAAAAGGCATAGGAAAACAATTCTGTGCTTTTCACTCTTGACATTTCATGCCTGGCAATAAAGCCAGAATTTGAGTTCAATAATTCTGACTCTAAATCATTCGTATTTTCCCATTACACCATAATTTCTTAAACGGTGTCCTGAAACTGATGTTCCTCAAGTACTAATGGGAAAAAAAAAAAAAGTGTTAAAAAAAAGTTTCCCTCCTAAACAGAATTTTAAAATAAATATGTCTGTAAGGAAAGGGTGACCCGTACCCCATAGCACCAGGAAGCTGCAGGTGAGACTATGCGATACATGAACTCATGATATCCCGTGTGTATTCGATACACGGACAGCTAGAGCCGATGGAATGCGGTACTTTTCTGTTCCCTGTCCAATCTGTGAGTCCGATGGTGCCCATACACTATGACTTAAAGATGTTACGGCCAAATAGGAACACAGGAAACATTACTGCCCCTCACCGTCTTCAGGTCCTCATAGAAGAGGTAGAGCATGCGGTGTTGGTCTTTGGCTTCCCACCATCCTCTCACGTGGTCATACCAAGAGCCCCAGCACACTGCAAAACAGGGTGCAAGGCAGGTCGCGAATCACAGCACCTCAGCCGACACCCCCCCAACGTCACAGTGACGAATCCTTCACATTAAGTGCGGCAGATCCCTGCTGTACTAAGGAAAGGATTCTTTCTTTTCACAGCTTTTGAGGGTGGTGAGAAAGGAAGGATTAACAGCTGCATTTTCATACCTTTCCCAGTCAGAAAATTCTCAAAATACTCCTCCCAGGTCCCTGGGGCCGGAAGCGCCTTGTTCATCCTTTGGAAATGGTAATAAGAAACCATGTTGTCCTTGGGGTTTCTTGCTACATAGATGATCTGGGAGTGGAGAGGGGAAGTGCAACAGGTTAGACCTTTGCAGAACGCCCAGACAAATTATGTTAGGGTGATCACATTGATTTCTGCGGGGGAATATCTTTTGACGTTGCGGTCCTGTGAGCTTTGTGTTTGTGGGAGACGAAAGGTTCATAACAGTCTGCACGGTGGTCGCTGTGAAGGCTGAGCTACTTTTCTTTAATCCTAAGTGAAGGACCTTAAGAGGAAATAGACTGAAGACCAGAGTATAACTCAGAATTCCTTTTGCTCTTTACCTTACAGTTTTTCTCTATGAAAGATGGAGGCAGCAAGTGGATGGGAAGATGTGTTTTCAGGATCCGTGGTGAAGGCATTGCATTAGCTTGTTCCAAACCTATAAAATTGATTTTTGATGATTTCCCACTATTTTTCTCTATTTGCTTCAAAATATTGCTGCTTTCATTATTACTACCTTAGATACAATTGAACTATTTAAGGCAGCTGTAAGAGCACTGTAACTATCTGTAGATCTGATCTGAGAGAATATGTCTAACCTATGAATTAATTTTTTGGCCTGAACCATTTCTAACCATAACAAGCAACAAATCAAATAAATAAGAACCTAAAAAATTCAAACATTTTGTCCATGAAATTACCTAGGCTCATCCTAGGTAAAATTAATTTCTAATTGGAGAGTCAGAATTTAACTTACTTTTGTATATTAAACAGTAGGTCCGTACAGCATTGGGCAGATACAGTTGTTTTTTTTTAAAAATCACAAAATCCATCAAAAATTGTTTGATTGCCTAGATTTTGAGAAGGCTATTTGATAGCAAACATCCTAAGCACAACCCATACTCACCGCATCCTATGGATGGGATTACCCATTCGATGAAAGGAAATCGCACATGAGTTGGTGCTCGCTGAGTTTTTTCAACATCACCTTCATTTTGTATTAAGTCCACTATCTCCTGCGTCCATGTTGTTCCTGTTCCACATGGAAGATGAAGATGCATAGACATTTACTATCCTACATTCCTTAAGAGATGGTCAAACACCTGTTAGGACATCCATGTGAATTCTGAAGCTAGTTTTATAATGGAATAAAGAAAACATCATTCTTGCCCAGCCGGTGTGCACCAGGAGAGGTCACTGGTTCAGTTCTCAACTCAGGGTCAGGGCACATGCTCGGGCTGCTGGCTCGATCCCCAGGAGTGGGCGTGCAGGGGGCAGCCCATGGGTGCTTCTCTTGTGGATGTTTCCCTCTCCCTCCCCCTCCCCCTCCCCTCCCC